TTTTAGAGTTGACTGGGTCCTGAGAAACCTAATTCAATAGATTTCCTACTCTGTAGGAATACTCTCTTTATGTGTTACTACATTAATAACTATATAGTATCTACATATCTCTTTAGAGTTATATATAACTCTTTCGTATTTTTCACTTCACTTAATCTTGACAACTCTGTGAGGCAAATATTCCCATTTATGTGTGGATAAGTGAGAGGTTTTGAAGTTTACTCAAGATCATCTAGTTAGTAAGTGATAGGGCCAGTATAAGAAACCAGGTCTTTTAACGGCAAATCTGATGCCTTTTGCATCATATTGTCTTGTCTTTTTATGTGCATTTCTTAGTTGGATATCACAATGTTGGCTGCAGTCCAGTTCAAGATCAATTAAAATCTCTAGGTCTTTTTCATATGTTTTTAAGTCAGGTTCTTGTCCTGTACATCTATAATTGGTATTTTGAACTTAAATATAGGACTTTGTTTATCCTCATTCATTTTAATTTTATTATTTTCTACTTATTGTTCTAGCCTTCTGAGATCTTTTCAGTCTTGATTCTATTATCCAATTTATTATTTCTTCCAGCTGTGTGTCAACAGCAAGTTTTATAAGTAGAGTGTCTTTGTGATTATAGGAGCCGTCCTAGTAATCTAGTATTCCGTGTGCCTGTTACATAGTTGGAACTTAATAAGTGATAATTGATTAAAAAAGATATTTGTACAAGGCAGAGAGAAAACTCACATAGAATCTCGTACCAAAAAAAAAAAAATGCTCAATATAAATACTTTCAGTTTTGGATATAAATATTGCAATGTTACCATAGCACCATTATGGTTCTCTCTTGTATTTTGTTATGTTTATAAATAATGTTTTTCATGGTAGATATAGTGGCTAACTAATTTCCTTTCTCATATCAACTTGTTATCAGTATTTTAAGAATTCATTGCCTTATAACACTAATTTTCTGAAACTGGCCTATTCTGGCTAAAGACTAGAGAATTTCTATTGGTGGCCTGAAGAGAAGAAATCTAGTTGTCAAGAGGGCTATGGAACTTATTTTACAACTGTATTTATATAGCAAAGAGAGGTTTTTACTCAGATGGAAGTTTAAAATTAGTAAAAATAACTTTCTAAAGAAATTTTTATTCATATGAAGTATAAGATCGAGACAATGTCGATTGTCTGTGTTCAATAATATAATTATTGTATTTTTATGTAGAGTGTTTTATGAGTGATACTAGGGCTTCCCTGGTGGCTCAGATGGTAAAGAATCTGCCTGCAGATCTTGGGTTTGCCTGCAGGATACCTGGATTTGATCTCTGGGTCAGAAGATCTCCTGGAGAAGGGAATGGCTACCCACTCCAGCATTCTTGCCTGGAGAATCTCATAAACAGAGGAGCCTGGTGGGCTACAGTCCATGGGGTCGCAAAGAATCGGACACTTCTGAGTGACTGAGCACACACACAAAAGTGGCCCTGATGCAGGTTTTGTAGTGGGAGGTTGAAGTCCCTCAGATCACCTGTAGGTGCATCACTATCTGGGTATTATGGGAGTGCTCCTTGCCAACCACTTACGTCCATTTGCTTTCATGGTCTTAACCATGCTCTTTATAACTCTTTGCAAGCAGTAAATTTATAATTTTCTATATAGACAGTTACCTTGGTGAAATGAAAGAAACATTGTGTAAAAGTATATTAACAGTTGGTATTGGTTTTGTGGATGGAAGTAAAAGGTTTTGGATAATTTACTACAGTAATGATATGATGTAATATAAAATTTATTCTATTAACTATTTATTTTAATAACTTTATTAAATGTTTTAATTCTCTACTTATGAAATTAATACAATCCAGAAAGGGATTAAAGGTAAATCCCTAGTTAAAGCCTTCAATTGTATTTTAGGGCATCTCATGGTAGAACCTATTTAATAGTAGTTGCATTCTTGTGGATTCATGACAATCTTGGACTATAGCTCCATCCATTGTCAAAGCCTACTATATTTCACTTTTGAAAAAAATAGTTTTTGATCTTTTGCATTTTCACATTTTTTCAATTTTGTGTATTTTTGTGCTTAAATGGAAGATAAATTCTAATTGTCTGAATCTTCAAGCAAATTAAACATTATTTTTAGTATTCTGGAAGTTAGAGGTTCTCATAAATACCATTACTCAAAAAGATAAAATTTGTCATCCTGAGAAAACTTGCTTTTATGAAGCAGCTGGACTGGGGACTATTCTAATTTCTTCTAAATTATAGTCACTGGGTTTCACTGCCATTATCTCTGCAAACATCTGAGGGGGTTAATGCAGTTATCTCTCTGAATATAAAACACAATGTATAATTACTGAATATATAATATAAAATTGTGCTGTTTTAGGCTTCGTGAAATGTATCAATACATGCTGTGAGCTTTGTTCAGCATGATGTATTTATACTTTGAAGTATTAATTTTTAATTGTTGAAGTCCTCTTTATTTAATCATGTATTTGAAATTTAAACTTGTTAATTTCTGAAAAGGATTTGAGATGATTTCTAATTATTTGGAGAAATCTCACTATGATAATAACTAAATGGCATTATACAGAAGCTGCAATTGTTGAAATTTGCATTGTCTGTGTAGATTACTTTGTTTTGAAATTAATTCCTGTTCTTAAAACAGCCACTGGTTTTATGTTTACAGAATGTATTTCCAAAAGTGTTTACTTGACATCCTTTTCAGTGCTTAAGAATTAAATTTAGCTTTCTAATTTTCTCCTATTTCTCATGTTTTAAGATAATTACAGGAGTATACTTTGAATACTCAACAATTAAATCACTTGGTCAAATCTTCTTGTTTGTTGTTGTTTAGTCACTAAAGTTCTGTCTGACTCTTTTGCAATCCTATGGACTGTGGCCTGCAGGCTTCTTTGTCCATGGCATTTCCCAGGAAAGAATACTGGAGTGGGCAGCCATTTCCTTCTCCAAGGGATCTTCCCGACCCAGGGATCGATTCCACGTCTCCTGCATTTCAGGCAGATTCTTTACTACTGAGCCACCAGAGAAGCCCATCTTATTTCTTAATTTTCTAAATATTCAAGTTTTTAATTGAACAAAGCCTTTCACTCAGCACTGTTTTACCTTGTTTCTTTGTTAATTGCCTATTTTTGCTTCTTTTACCTTCTCCTATTTCTCTGTTTCATCCTACTATCTCTCCCTTCCTTAATTTCTCTAATTTCTTTTCCTAAAAGAGTTTAGTCTGTAATTTGTTAAGATTAAAAGCTTCTATTTTTCTAGGATTGTGTATATCATGTATATCATTATTAAACTTATGATAAAACCCACTTTCTAAAGCAACGCGGACAGAGAAATGTGTAGCAAAGGGCTTTGTAGGGTTTATAATTGATTTGGTAGGCTTTTACAAAAATTATGAAACACATACACAAAACAGGTATTACTAAAAAAAAAAAACAAAAATGCTAATTGTAGCAGTGAATGAGTTTGCAAACTATGGAATATTAAGGATTAAATAGATAGATGATGAAATTTGCCAGTAGATAATGAAATTTTTAAGGGGAATTTTTATGGTACCTCAATTACTACAGAGTATATTTCTGTATAGATGAAAAAGTATGTCAAAATAAAGGTTAAATTGCATATTTTTTTCTTCTTTCTTCTTGTTACCAGACGAAGCAAACCTTAATTAGATCTCAGTTTGCCTGTACTTATAAAGATGACTGCATGATAAGCAAGGATAAATGGAATAATGTTAATTCAACATCAAAGCCTTCGTGTGTTCTTCACATGGAAAATGATCTTTCTGGTAATTGACCTAATTAAACAACTTAATAACAGTTTAATTCTAGTGTACTAATTGGTTTTAACTTAAGTAAAACTAGATTTTTTTTTTGTAATGTAAAAGTTTATATTTTTAAAGATGAGTTTATTTTAAAAGTTATATCTAACTACAAATTGGTGTATAGAATTAGGACTTAGTTTGATTTAGCTAAATGTATTTAAGAAATAACTTGTAGTAGTATTTAAGGATTGTGTTGTGCATTCAGACAAAGCAAATTTGTTGTTTGTAGGGATGAAAAGTGATATGGTAAAATGAAAAGAAATGTGATAGTAATATTGCTGTATCTGTTAGTAATGTAATTTATAGCATTATTTGATTGTAAATCATAAGTTTTGAAATTCTTTATCTGTTTAAAAATTTTGTAAAATCTCATGTGTAATAATTTTAAGTATTATATAATTTCTTTTCTCTTTTCATCTTGCATAACAGAAGGTGTAAATTCTTCTGTTGGAAGACCAACAATTGGAACAAGTTCTGGAAATGTTCATGTGGGCAGAAGTAAAAAAGAAAAAGTAGCAAGAAAATCAAGTAGTCTGACAGGAAATACAAGCTCAAAAAGGAAACAGGTGGATTTGGATGATGAAAATATTCTCTGTGATAATGGAAACGAACCACTTCAACACAAAATTGTTAAGATACCCAAGACATCAAAAGATTTGCAGAATAAATTGGATGGTAAACTACTCAGAGTTGCAAAAAGCAATAGATGTACCACCAAGGACAAATTGATTACTGGCCAGACGAAGTTGACTCAGTTTTTTAGACTATGAAATTATCTTTTATGTTCTTTAGGTTTGTGTATATATATATAAAACCATTTGCCAAATTCTTTTACTTAATTTTTAAGCAATGAAGGTGTAAGTTATAGTGCTTTATTATTTTGGTCTGCAGTGTACGTATGGTTAATATGTTAAGCATTGTTTTAAAAAAATACTAGTAAGTCATAATTATGCAGAAAATTCATAAAGTTTAATGCACAAGTAAAGCAGTCATTTAGGCATAACTTAATACCACTTTCTTTTAAAACAGACATTGAAAATAATACAACTTAATACCACTTTCTTTTAAAACAGACATTGAAAATAATACAACTCATAGTAACATTAAGGGCTTTTTTCCGGAGAGGCAATTAAATGATTTTGCTTTCTTTTTAAATGATGATGTGGACCAGCAGGCATCAGACTTGCCAACAAGGTCGATAGACTCTTCCCAGCATACACCTGAGCACTGAAGGAAAAAAAAAATTAAATTGTTTAAAGGACTAGTATCACACAAAGTTGATTAGAAATAAAAGAATGAATCTTGTATAGCTAATCTGAGTAAATTACAATTATAATAACTAATTAAATACTTTTTAATTTCACATCTTTTGCAGGAGTTACTTAATATCAAGTACAAGTTGAACCATGGTCTTGTTTGATTTTGTTATGATTGGACCGAATTTCAGTTAAATTCAAAGTTCTATTTTATGATATTAAGGTATAAGAATTCAATTTTTAAAAAACTACTCACTGTCAAAATCTCTCCTTCCTATAGGAAACTTAGCTGAGTTTTCTTCATCCCCAATTTCTCTCTTTTCTTGTGTTGATTCAGTATTTTGAACTTCATTCTCAGCTGGAAAAGCTACAGATCCTTTTAGTGCAAGATAAGGTTTTATAGCCAGATTCAGTGGTAGGCCATGATTTAAGAAATTATGTTTGGAACCCGCATTCTGTAAAGAAAAGGTTGATTTGTGTTTTAACTGTTCTACTGGGAATGGAACTATAATACATTGTGTAATATTCTTATTGATCAATTTAAAGATGCCCAGCACTGTTTTGACTCTTTAAGAAATACTTTAGGTACAAGATTTTCAGGGAGTAAAAGCTTTTTTAATAAGAGACATTTCCCAGATTGGAAGAACAACCTGGTATGTATGAAATTTGTATAATTGTTCTAATGCATACTGTGACTTTTTTTCACATGCTTCTACTTATAAAAGTATCAACTTTACTTTCAAAGGATTCATAAAGATCATTCAAATTTCCATTGAAATAAAGGACAAGTCACATTACCACTTACCTTTGAATTTTTGTTTTCTTCATCATTCATGAAACTGCTCTCATCATTTTTATATTGCTCCAGGGAAGGAACAACAATTGATTTTTCTGCGGTATCTTCCTTCTGAAAGGCTTTCCCCAGCCTCAACGTTTTAAATACCATGTCATCTTCTAAATTTCTTATCGACTTGGATGCTGAAAATGAAATGCCTTGAGAAAGCAAAGAAAAAGTTAGTATTAATATGTAGGAAGAGAAACTCATTTTTGCCATCCTTAGTTTGATGTTTGCATAGAGTAAAACAAGGATGTATAAAATGAAGTGAAATTTCTCAGTCATCCTGCTTTGTAAATGATTCTTGCCTTTATATATTTTCCAGCCTGAATAGAAAGCACTTGAAAAACTTTCATCATTTTAGAAATGACTCATCAGATAGAAACCAACCTTTTGTGTAGCTGGTAAGACCCACATTGTTTTGGTTTTAGTGGCATATTGTTTGAGTGTGAATTTTCTCAGAATCTTATTATTAAGATCCTTGGTAAAAAGCTTTGTGTTGAGGAGATTATAGTCTCTTGAAAATGAGTTCTTATTAAGGAAGACTGCAGGACATCAGACTCTCCATATTCTTGTTTGTTTATATTGTTTCCTTCTGTATATTTTCAATTAAGTACAATATTAAAGTTACTTCTTTCACTCAGGATGTGTGTGTGTGCTCATGCTCAGTCATGCCCAACTCTTTGCGACCCCATGGACTGTAGCCCACCAGCCTCCTCTGTCCTGGAATTTTCCAGGCAAGGATATTGGAGAGGGTTGCCATTTCCTACTCCAGGGGATCGTCCCAACCCAGAGATAGAACCTGCGACTCTTGCATTGGCAGGTGGGTTCATTACCACTATTGACACCTGGAAAGCCCTTCACTCAGGACTATAAGGGTCAAAGTTTCAATCCTGATTAAATTGAAATAATCTTCAACAAGACTTTTTTTTTTTTCCATAAATGCTTGGAGTAGTCTTTGGTGTTTAAAGTATATATGCCTGTGAGTGTGAAAAAAAGGTCACATGTGCTATATCTAAGATTGACCTATCAGATGTATTTCTATCTTTGTATTTACAGAAGATTATTACTAATATTTATTAGTGAATTTAGCTGGTCCATAAAGAGAATATTTACATTGTCCATAAACCTTCATTTTGGATAATGAGTGTGTTGTATAATTTTTAGTTAAACATTTCAGAGTTAATTTCTAATGGTGACCCTGCCAAGTAAGAGAATACATTCTTGTATATGTTCTTCTGGTATATATGTGCCATAGTTTTTCTAGGCTATATTTCTAATTTTGGCATTGCTGGGTCATACAGTATGTGCATTTCAGCTTTTTTAATGCTGACATGGTTACAGAATAGTAGTAGCCAGTTTAAGCCCCCACCTGCAAGGTATGAGAGTTCTTACTGCTGTAGGTTCTACTTAACACTTGGGTATCTTATTATCATTTAATGTTTATTCCTCTAATTACCAAGGAGGTTGGATTATGTAAAATACCATTTAAAGAAAAAATTTTTCATTATTGGGTTATTTTTTTCTTGTTGATTTATGGAAGTTTAATATATGTTGAATATTAATTCTTTGTTATGTGTTTTGATTTTTTTAATTACATTATGTCTTATCTTTTGAATACCTTCATGATGTCTTTTGGTGAACCAAGCTCCTAAAATTTTAATGTTTTAATTTTTTGTGTGCTTTTTGTGGTTAATATTTTTAATATGCTGTTATTTGGAAGTCCTTCCAAACCCTGAGATCATTAACATATTTCTATATTTTCTAAAAGTTTAAATGTTTTGACTTTCACATTTAAATTCTTAATTCATCTAGAATCTTCTGTTTAAGAGCTAAATTTTAACTTACTCCAGACGTCCTTAATTTCTCAAATAACTCATGTTCTCCCTGCCAATCTGCAGTGCCATCTCTGCAGTGTATTAGGTTTCTATGCATGTGTAGGTCTCTTTCTGAACTCTCTATTCTACTGCCAAATCTACAGTATTAATTGTTATAACTTTGAAATAACTTCTGATATCTGGTAGGTCAAGTTTCTCAGCCCTCTACTCAGGGACCAGTTTTTCTTCCGTAGAAGTTTCTTGGCTGATTTTGTCCGTTTCTTTTCCATGTAAACCTTGGAATTTTGAAGGGAATTGCATCTGTTCTACAGATTAATTTTGGAGGTGAATTGACACTCTTAAGATAATTTACTTATTCATGGACATGGTACTTTTCCATATTTATTAAGATCTTCCTTGATCTTTTAATGATATTTTATTGTTTCCTTCATTTCTTTTTCTTATATATCTTTGTTGCAAGAATTGTACTTGTTTATAATCTTCCCAGGTCAGACTAGTGGTAAAGGGCCCACTTGACAATGCAGGAGACTCGGGTTTGATCCCTGGGTCGGGAAGGTCCCCTGGAGGAGGAAATGGCAACCCATTCCAGTATTCTTGCCTGGACAGTCCCAGGGATAGAGGAGCCTGGCGGGCTATAGTCCATGACCTTGCAAAGAGTTGGACTCAACTGAGTGATTAATTACATAATTTAATTAAGTTCTTTATTTTTAGTTACTATAAGTGATAGCTTTTAAAAATTTAGCTTTTCTAACATCATTGCTGGTTTGTACACATGCAGTTGGCTTTTCTCTAGTGTTCTTAAATACAAAACACTTGTTAAAATCTTGAATTCAATAGTAGCAATAATTCTTTAATTCAGTAGTTTATATTAATTCTTTGGGATTTCCTTTGAAGACAGTTGATATAAATAATAATGATATGTTATTTCCTTCTTGGAAGTGTGTGTGTTTGTGTGTGTTTATCTGTGTCTGTCCATGTGTGCAAACAGACTGACTCAAACTGTGAATGTTGGATATGGAAATAATAATTCTTTGCAGTATTACTGATTTTACAGAGAATGCTTTTTTTTTTCTTTTAACTTTTCATCATTGAATATGATGTTCGCTCTTGATTTTTTTGTAGGCGCCCTTTATAACTTGCAGGATGTTCTTTCCTATTTTTAGCTCACAAATAATTTTAATCATGAATTGTTGAATATTATTGAATGTTTTTTCTGCATCTCTTGAGATAATTGTACTTTTTCTCTGCCAGTCTTTCATTTAGAAAGTGAACAGATTTTTCCCATATTAAGCCAACCATGTATTTATGAAACAAACCTTTTAAAATATTATTGAGTTCAATTTGGTAATATTTGATTTATGCATTTTGCATTTATTATCATGAGTGAGACTGATCTGTAATTTTCCTTTCTTCTATAGACAACATGATAATATGTTGTTCAAATCTTGTTTGTTATACTGATTTTTTGTCTTCATGAATTATCAGTTATAGAGAAATATTTGCAAATCTTTTATTATGATAATGGGTTTATTTCATTCTATTTCTAGTTTGCAATGTTTGCTTCATTTATTTTGAGCTTATTAGGACATTAAAAGTAGACATTGTTTTGCCTTAAACCATGTATCATGACCCTCTTTAGCTTTAATAATGTGTCTTTTACTATAACTTTTCCTGTATCATCTGTATGTTTTATATGTGTCTGTTGTAAATATCATATAGCTGAATTTGGAATATTTTGTCTGAGAGTCGTCTTTGTCTTTTACTTGGAGAGTTTAGTCCATTTACATTTATCTTGTTTATTGAGTTACTAATGTTCAGTGCTACTTTTGTGATTTTTATTGGTTCTAATATGTTTTCTCTTTCCCTTTATTGCCTTCTGATTTAAATTTAATATATTTTTTGTTCTTTTCAGATAGGATTGATCTTAACTAATGTTTGTTATTGTTGTAGTTGGGGGTTTTTAGTTTGTTTTAAAGCCAACTTTGTAAACAAGGATTTTCTGTAGCACAAGCAACTGTGTTCAATATCTTGTAATAACCTAAAATGGAAAAAATTTAAAAAGGATATAGTTATGTACATATATGGGTGTATAATTGAATCATTTTGCTGTACATCTGAAATTAACACAATGTTGTAAATCAATGACACTCCCACATATATACATTCTTTTAAGGACTACCCCGCGAATAACACTCTCTAACACTTCACTAGACATTTTAGTATCATCTTCAGTTATTTACATTTATTTAAAGTTACCAGTATTTTTGTCCTCCTCCCAAATAGTATAAAGACCTTAAAATCTTTAAATGTGGTCACCACTATTTGTATGCTATTATTTTCAAAGATTTAAGTTCTCTCTTGATTTTTTAATGAAACAAATTAGGGATTATTTAATATATTATGGGCTCCCCTGAGAGCTCAGTTGGTAAAGAATCCGCCTGCAATGCAGGAGACCCTGGTTCAATTCCTGGGTGGGGAAGATCTGGAGAAGGGATAGGCTACCCACTCCAGCATTCTTGGGCTTCCCTTGTGGCTCAGCTGGTAAAGAATCCGCCTGCAATGCAGGAGACCTGGGTTCGGGGTTGAGAAGATCCCTTGGAGAAGGGAGAGGCTATCCACTCCAGTATTCTGGCCTGGAGAATTCCACAGACAGTTTGTGGGGTCGCAAAGAGTCGGACACAACCGATCAACTTTCACTTATTATTTTATACATTTAACACTGGTTTAGATTTACCTACAAGTTTACTATAATTTCCCCACCATTTCCTTTTATAGCTGAGATCTTCTTTGGATAACCATTTATTTTCTTTTTGAAGTACATGTTTTTGAAGTATAATAAGTTAGATGCTAACTTAGTGAAGTTCTGTTAGTAATAAAAAAATTTAAAAAAGTTTTGTTTTAATTAAATGCTTTTGCTGTTCTTGAAAAATACTTTCATGACTATATAATTACTCATTTGATGATTGTTTTCCCTTAGTACTTTATTTTATTTCAGTTCTTTTGGTTTTCATTGTTGCTGCAGACAATTCAGCTATTGGTTTTAATCATGATTCCTTTATAGGTAATCTCTGTATTCTATCTAGCTGCTTTTACTTTTTTTTTTTTTTAATCTAGCTACTTTTAAAATCTTCTCTTTGGCTTCAGTGTTCTGCAGTTTCATATGATGTGTCTGGGCATGAGTTTCTTATAATTTATCCCGGCTTAAATTCTTGAATCTGAGGGTTGATGTTTTTCATGAGTTTTAGAAAAGTATTACTTAATATTTCTTTCTTTTTCTTTTTTTGGCTGCACTGCACTGCATGCCGGATCTTAGTTCCCTGACCAGGGATTGAACCCATGCCCACTGCAGTAGAAGGGCAGAGTCTTAACCACTGGACTGTC